TTTATTTCATAAGCCATTAATAAACTGCAGCTAACTTAATTATAGTATAAATATCAGGCAATTAACAAATTAATTTGAGATACTTTATTAACTATATGACTTACTTTGACTAACTAAACTTCTGTTTTCCCTGGTTTTATTCTGGAAAGGTTTATCTTGGGTGATTAAAGTTAAAACGTATATAAGACCAACAATACAAGCAGAGGAAGCAGAGAAAACTATACTTCAGACCTTGGTGAATCCATAAGGATAAGTTAGGAGAACTACTGGCGGAGACAATTCAGCAAACCCCTCAATCTCGAATACATCATTATTTGTATTAACAAAATATATCTATACTTTTCGGGGTAATGTGTGCTGAGGAGCCTCTAACTTCAAAAGTTAGCCATATGTAGTAAGTGGTAAAAATTATTAGTATGAGTAGTTCGAATGGTTGGTATCGAATAACACCGAGTAAGTAGTCTATACACTATAACCGCTCCAATCTTCAAGAAAATTATATGTGAGGTGTAGATTGCGAAAAGTTCATTGTGTTTGAGTCCCGACTATGAGTCGAAAGCGCATATTACTAGGCAAGGTCGAAACTGCAGTCCACTAAGGATGAAAATACATCTAGGGAAGTAAAGTGGAGAGAAATTCAATAGCATACTGAGAATTTGTGGAAAAAACTCTACTAATAGACTATCATAATCTACCGTTCTTATTCAAGATCTACTAGTAGGCCCGAAACCTACCCACTATCAATAGAATTAACAGTGTTGTCTGCAATGTCCGTATTCCTGTTTTTTATAAACAGAAATGATCTATTTGTGAATAAAGGCTGGTTTTCAGAGAATAACTTGATGAAGCGTTAATAGCATGACTTATTTTATGAGAAGTTACGAGGTGGGAGGATTCGCAGGCCAACACAGAAAGCTAGGGGAAATTTGCCAAGAAGCTTCAATGCAAATTTACAGAAAGTATCAAATTCTGTCCAATAAAAAATGATAAAAAGAAATGCTTGGATTTGCAATGCCGATAATTACGAGCGTTAAAAATAAAAAGCATATTTTTTAAAATGATTCGGAAAATTAAAGTGTCAATATGCTAGTCTATTAGGGATACACGATAAGCATGCGAGAAAAATAAGGATTAAGAGAGGTCATTCTCTCTGATTAATATATCGGAAATAGGAAGTTATAATGCATAAGTTAATTAATTACGTTAATGTTAACTCCGTTTTATTTAATGCATATTATAATGACTTCAGAGCCATCTAATTTATAAGAAAAGCAATATCAAACTATCTAAAAGTATTTAGTACTTACTCCTGCTATTCGTGACCACTCTGGAAAGAAGGCCCCATGAGAATGCATAAGCTCCTCAAGTTCGCTTGCAGATTTAAACTGTTGATTGCTATGAAATGATGCATATGAATGAATATTTGCAATCATAGCCGAATTATGATCTGCAATGTGAGCCTGTGGAGATGAGTCGAGCAAGGATTCATTGGTTATTGCTACCGTGGCGCAGTTCGAATCCCTTGTTGGTTGAGAAGAGTTAACATCCAGAGAAGACAGAAAAATTCCACCACCATGATTTGTCCCACTAATATTGCTCCGACTTCCTCCTTTGCAACGTTTTCTTCGGCGTCGCGTCCGTCTTCGCGAGTTACTGGCTGCACTTGTTATGCCAAAAGTATTACCGCTAGCCCCATTAGTTCTGGTACCACAACTTAGCTCAACCGGGTCTAAACCTTGGATGGGCAATGAACGTAGTCGAATATTGTCAGAAGCTTTATAGGGCATCCTGTAGTTAGCGATTTCATTGCTTAGAGCAAGGAACTGACGTTCTTGTACTTGAGGCCCCGAATTCTTATCACCTTCATTCTCGTCCTCGTGGTCTTGAAGCTGTACCTTTTCCACACAGCCTAGCAACTCATGCGACTCAAGTTCTGGAAGAGGACAATCTTCACTCTCTTGTGTTACAATTGTTCCTTCATTTGCCTGACTTAAAGCTTTGACATATAGTTGTTGATTCAGTTCATCCTGCTTACTTTGAGAAGAATCATCAAAGTCTACTTCAGAGTTATCAGAAATAGAGGCCGTAGAGTGGTTAGAAGCATTATGATCTATGGTTTGCCGATTCATATTTGTGCCTAATTAGTCAATATAATAATATTAAAACCACAATCAGTAGTTGAAAGTAGAAAGTGTAAATAGTTTGTCTAAATAATGATAAAATAAATGGCTCCATATAAATAAGCATCACTATGAAAATGGCGATTTTAGCATTTTCATAAAGTGCCTAATCTCAAAAAATTATAAAAACAATTATCTTATAAATCATTTATAGAACTTAAGGTACAGCTAGCCAAAAAGTAAATAAAATTTTAAAAAAACTAAGTAAAATCTGTAAGAGCGATGGGTAATTACAGACTACTTTGTACACCAAGATACAAATATTTGGCATTCCATGAGGTGCGAGAAATAAGTGATACCACAATTGGATTACACAGTAATATTTAAGCAACGTTCTTAAAACCTCCAGTGTCAAACGCAAGTCAAATCCTCCCAAGTCTTATTCGGTCAGGCAGAGAAGCAGAGTTTGTGCCCCTAGATCTAAACTCCGCAAATCATCCACAAAACTAATAGAGACAAGATGCAGACAATGCAGAAATTTTAGCTCATATTCTGTTTGAGACGAAATGACTTATAGATATAAAGAGAAACTGGGTTTCAATGAATCCCCTGAGATAACATTGTTGGAGGGACTTTAATTTGGTATGAAAATGCATAAAGAAGAGATTCGTAGGTCGATCTCACTAGAAGGGGGCGCATGAATCCCGTTGTACTGGAGCTGTTTGGCTTTTAAATATGACGTTCAGGTTGACGCAGTCTACGATACCTCCTCCATCATTTCGGGTGAAAACGGACTGAGCTTTCGTCCATCATATGATGGACATCATCAGAGCTGGGTCTCATTCCTGTAAAGGTCTCACATTAACACTAGGGCAAGAAGACTATTCAGCTCTATCTTACCTCTTATATAGACTCAGTTAAGCCAAAATAAAATTAAAAACCTTGATAGATATAGAATGGTTTGGCTAATTATCTTTCACACTTGTCCTGCTAATTTTGTTCGAGTGTGTGCGTATGTGCGCAGAAATGAGACCCAGCATATGATGGACGAAAGCTCAGCCCATTTTCACCAGAAACGAGGGAGGATGTCTCGTGGACTGCGTCAACCTGAACTTCGTATAAAAGCCAAACAGCTGCAGAACAACGGGATTCATTCGTCTTCTTCTGGTGAGATCGACCCACCAATCTATTAATTATGCACTTTCATATGGAATGAAAGTCCCCCCAAAAATGTACATAAAAATTGAAATCAGCAAACCTTCTTCGTCTCATTGTCGCAAGCTTTGCTGCATCAAATTGCATATGAAGACCAATCGCTCTGGTCATGAGGAGAACACATTCAATTATATAGAGAACGTGTGACAAGCTTTGATTTCCAACTTATTGGAATTTTTTTTTCCTTTGACCCTTAAGCAAGATGATGGCCCCCCCTGACAAACGTATGTTATGTTCAATATAGAGTAAGAATTACCTTTCAAAGTTTTAAAATTGTCCAATTGTCGCTGGGGCTCAAATATATGACCAGCCTTGTTGTTGAAGCTGGAGTAAAAGGTGGGCATGTCA